AAAGATTTTTTATTATTTATTTATTTGACAGAGATCACAAGTAGACAGAGAGGCAGGCAGAGAGAGAGAGGGAAGCAGGCTCCCCGCTGAGCAGAGAGCCCGATGCAGAACTCGATCCCAGGACCCTGAGATCATGACCTGAGCCGAGGGCAGCGGCTTAACCCACTGAGCCACCCAGGCGCCCCAAAACAATATTTTAATTTAATGTTTTCATTTTATCAGACTTTAAACTTTGCGGGGTTTTTATTTAAGATTTTTTAAAATTTTTTAAAAGATTTTATTTATTTATTTGACAGATCACAAGTAGGCAGAGAGGCAGGCAGGGTCGGGGGTGGGGGAAGTAGGCTCCCCACCAATCAGAGAGCCCTATGTGGGGCTCAATCCCAACACCCTGAGATCATGACCTGAGCCAAAGGCAGAGGCTTAACCTACTAAGCCTTTAGGCACCCCTAAAGATTTTATTTATTTGACAGAGAAAGAGACAGTGAAAGAGGGAACACAAAAAGGGGGAGTGGGAGAGGGAGAAGCAGGCTTCCCATGGAGCAGGGATCCTGATGCGGGACTCGGTCCCACAACCCTGGAATCATGACCTGAGCCAAAGGCAGACGCTTAACAACTGAGCCACGCAGGCACCCTAAACTTTGTTTTCATCAAAACTTTGGAGCTAAGGTTTTACCTCATTTGATTCATTGCAAATAAAAAGACTTCCAGCTAACCGCTTTGGCAAAGTCAGTCGTCAAAGTCAAAACAATTAGCAAATCAGACTTTGTGTCAAAAAAGAAAGTGTGGCTCCTTTTGCAATGCTGCTGAGCACGCTAGCAATGAGCATACATCCCATAATACCTCTCTGGCTTCTGCATTCTAGCTCTACAGAGAGAGGTGAGTAAAGTGATGAGGGCCAGGAGTTGGCCATAAGGTGGTCTAGCTCCAGCATTTCTCCCAGACACCCTATTTGCCAGGATCTTGGGAACTTTCCCCAGGAGAAATGCTTATCCACAGCTATGGATGCAAAATGAAAACTATCTGAGTGTTTCCCTTTGATTATTGCCCCATAGAGTTTTGACCCCCCGGGGCATTGCACCACAGTAACCTACAGGACGGCCTGTCTGCCTTTTTGTTTTAAAGCAAGAAAAGAGAGATTATGAAAGGGGAGGCAGGGAAAGCGAATCAGCACAAAGACTAGACACAGACATTTGCTCCTGGGCAGATCTGTCTTAGAAAAGAGAACCAATGGGAGCTGAAGATCTGGGAATGAGCCCCTAAAAATAACGTGTATCCCCAAAGACAGCCAGCCTCCTTGTCCCCCCCAGGGTATGAATCCTCTGGTTGGAGGACCACTGAACTGTGGAATATTCACAATCCTACTACACAGCATTTAAAATAAAAAACTAAATCTCTATGTATCAACACAACTCAAAGACATATGGTATGACAATGTTTCTATACATTGAAACATTCTCCAGAAAAAGTGGGAGTGGCACAGGTGGGTGGAATTGACAGGTATTTGCATGGAGATAAAGCAAGGCCCTGTTAACTCTAGAGCTCAAAGAAAGGCCTTTCTAGCCCCAGACAAGCTAACCCCTTCCAAGGAGACAGTATCTTCTCCACAGTTCAGGATTGGCAAGAGGAGGCAGCAGGCCATTGATTCCAAGTCGCCCCTGCAGTCAGTATCTTATGAGCCATGGTACCGAGCCCTGATGAATTTCTTACCAATGCCCAGTCCAGTTAATGTGCTCCGAATGCCTTCAATTCATGTAAATTAAAATTACTTTATTTCCATGTTTTAAGAACAAACACCTTCGAGAGAAACAAAGACTTACTTAAATTTGGCACAGATACTGGTGACTCTCTTACCTTATCTCTCTCTGGATGCTTTTAAAAATAAGGGACTTGCTTGACCGCGTGCAAGTCATTGCTGTTGTTCCCGTGCCTTCATGCCATCCCACGTGAGTGCCGCAGCTTGGGGCACAGGAGCTCACCTGGCAGCGAGGAACGGCCCCGCCCAGCCCTCTGCACACCTGGCCCTACTGCAAGCAAAGCATCCCCAGAATTCTCGCAAATTGCATTTGCTCTCCCACCTGCTGCAAAGCGGATGTCGTTGTGGTTGCATTGAGAATCCACCACATTCTGTAAAAAATATCACTGGGGTCACAAAGCCTCCTTGGTAGATTTCACAAGTTGCCTTGGCATACCCCCCACCCTCTGTCATGCTCTGTACAAAGGGGCTGCCACTCCCATGGCTGACACTTTTCTTAGCTGCAAGGCTGGAAGGCCTCCAAGCCAGCTGCAGCTCTCTTTCAGGTGACCAAGATGGCCGGCCTGGACTTGACTGTTTCCTTGTCACGTTCAGTCATGTGGGTTAAGGGACAGCCCTGTGTCTACACAGCCAGGGACACACCGTACATGTGTACATCTACATGCCAGGGATGCCCTGCTGTAAGTCACAGTCATAACCATCATTACAAAGTGTTTTCCTTCCCCAGTCTCCCTCATCTTCCATCTGAAAATCTAACATGTAGTGAGCAAGTCCCCAGTGCTGTAGACATATTGTATCTACTGCAGCCCACTTAAATGTCTATTAACAGGAAAACTAAATTCTGGAACACCCATAGAGAATGCACCCATTGAGAAGAATGAGATAGATTTACATGTGCTGATAGGAAGAGCTTTCCTTCTTCTACTATTAGCTAAGAAAGGGAGGTTGCAAAAAATGCAGGCATCATACAACCTCGTGTCAGTTGATTGAACAACCGACTCTTGCTCTCAGTTCACATGATCTCAGGGTTGCGCGATGGAGCCCTGCCTCAGGCTCCTCACTCAGCAGGGAGTCTGCTGGAGATTCCTGGCATAGTCACAGTGGAAAACAGTATGGAGGTGCCTCAAAAAGTTAAAAATAGAATTATCCTATGTTCCAGTAATCAAACTACTGAGTTGAGTATTTACCAAGAAAATTACAAAAATAGAGGCACCTGGGTGGTTCAGTCAGTTGAGCCTCTGACTCTTGATTTCCAGCTCAGGTGATGGTCTTGGGATCCTGGGATCGAGCCCCATGTTGGGCTTCAGGCTCAGTGGGGAGTCTGCTTGGGATTCTGTATCTCCTTTTCCTTCAGACCCTCCCCCCAGTCATGCTTTCTTTCTCTCTAAAATAAATAAGCAAAATCTTTATAAAAAATACAAAAACACTGGGGCGCCTGGGTGGCTCAGTGGGTTAAAGCCTCTGCCTTCGGCTCAGGTCATGATCCCAGGGTCATGGGATTGCGCCCCGCATTGGGCTCTCTGCTCAGCGGGGAGTCTGCTTCCCTTCCTCTCTCTCTGCCTGCCTTTCTGCCTACCTGTGATCTCTGTCTGTCAAATAAGTAAATAAAATCTTTTAAAAAAATACAAAACCACTAATTCAAAGGGATACATGCACCCCTATGTTTATAGCAGCGTTATTAACAATAGCCAAATTATGGAAGCAGCCCAATGTCCGTTGATAGATGAATGGAAAAAGAAGATGTGGTACATTTATACATGGATTATTATTCAACCACAAAAAGGAATGAAATCTTACCATTTGCAATGACATGGATGGAGCTACAGAGTATAATGCTGAGGGAAATAAATCAGAGAAAGACAAATACCATATGATTTCACCCATATGTGGAATTTAAGAAACAAAACAAATAAGCAAAGGAAAAAGAGAGAGGAAGAGAGAGAGAGAGAGAGAGATAAACCAAGAAACAGACTCCTTTATAGAGAATACATTGGTGGTTACTGGAGGGGAGGTGGGTGAGGGTAATGGACAAAATAGGGGATGGGGATGAAGGATGTGATGAACACTGGATGATGGATGGAAGGGCTGAACTGTGCACTGAAAATTAATATAACACTATATGTTAACTACACTAGAACTAAAATAAAATATGTTAAATGTTCCACCTAGGGGTAAGTACCTTGGATGATTTGAGAAGGCTGGGGAGCACACATTAAAATCAAAGTAATAGTAGTAATTTTTTTAAAGTCCATCCACCACTTAAGTTCTACCAACACAGCTCAGCCCAAGTTATGTTATGACACGGCGGGGAGGGGTGTCTGCAACACAGTCCTCACCAGGCAAAATCCATGGGTGGGGCAGACACATGGAACAGATAATGCCACGTGGCTTGACTCTAGACTCAGGTAGCAACAGTGTGAGGTTTATTTGTTCTGGGATTCAAAGTGGAAAGGCTAGGGCACCCTGAAGTAATGAGAGGCGGGCATCCACTGGGGCTGGAAGGCTTCAGGATAGCAACCGGCAAGAAGGAAGGGGATATGATGCGCCAGAGCCTGAGAGAGAAGAGTGAAGAATGCTCCCAGGCATTCACCCAGGCTTCACACAGGTCCCCGGCCAGTGCCTAAAGCCAAGGATAAAGAGGAATGAGGTCCGTGTTCTACAGCACAGAAGCTGGCCGCCAGGTTTAAATATAACGGAATTTCAGGCAAAGGGAACAGCAAGGACAGGAGCTCAGAGTTTAGACAGTTTCAAGTTCAGTGAGAATGTAGGGCCATGAGCGGAGGCTAGGAGGAGCTAGCACCCAAAAGCTCTGAGCCAAGCCCTGTTTCAGCTTCCATCCTGTCTTGCAAGTCACAGAAGTCTGCAAGAGTGACACTGTCAGATCCCCTTTAGGAGAATAATGATCATGACAGGGTGGCTGAAGGTGTGGCCAAGAAAGGGACTCATGTGAAGGCTGTTGCAGCAGCCCCAAGAAAAAATCTTGAGGCTGTAGGGTGATGTGTGGCAGTGGGGAGGACTGGGTGTGGTCGCCAGAGGACCTTCAGTCCCACACAAGGCAGGTGGTTGCTGCCCCATGGTCTTCTCCTTCCTGCTGAGCACCCAGACTACCCTGCGGAGTGGTGTGCAAGTCACCAACGCCTCTCCCTCCTCAGCCCTCAGCGCCCGTCTTGCTAGAGCCATTATGAGTGACAACAAAGGAAGTGGACACTCTGCTTTCCTGCTTACTCTCACCTTCTTCACCTCTTGTAAACTCTCCTTACCCTCTGTCTCTGCAGCCCCCACAGGAGAGCCTATTCCAAAGGTCATTTGCGAGCCTCTGTCTTTGTACTCAAGCCCACAGTTTTAACCGTCCCCAGCTGCCCTGCAAGCCCGCGTCGACGGCCCAGGCCCAGATCATGGACCCCAGCCTGCTCCCTGGGCTGGAAGGTGGTAACCGTGAAAAAGAGGGCGACTCTCCCCTGCGGGGCTTCGGATGACATCACATCCTCCCAACTCGAAATCTGGCTCCTCGGCTGGCCGAAGGGCGCGACTTCCCCCCTCCGCGTCCCACCCGCTCCAGCGCTCGTAGGCACGCGTCGCGCAGCGCAGAGCGCGCCATGGCCTCCTGGGTGACCCCCCTGCTCCTGCCGCTGGCCCTGCTGCTCCGTGAGTTAGCGACCCTCGGGAAGGGCGGGGGACGGGGCAGACGAGGAGCGCGGGGTTCCCGGCTCAGCCTCGATGCCTGCCGCCCGCAGATGCCGCCGCGGCCGTCGGGCGGAGCGGGTTCCGCATGTCGCGGGCGAAGGTGGTCGGAGAGCCGGGAGGGAAGGTGGAGCTGCAGTGCGAGGTGCTGCTGTCCCCTGCGGCGCCGGGCTGTTCCTGGCTCTTCCAGAAGAACGAACCTGCCGCCCGCCCCGTCTTCCTCCTGTACATCTCCCAAACCCGGAACAAGGTGGTCAACGGACTGGACCCCAAAGAGATTTCGGGCAAGAGGATCAGTGAGACCCTCTACAGCCTCACCCTGCACCGCTTCCGCAAGGAGGACGAAGGCTACTATTTCTGCTCTGTCCTGAGCAACTCCGTGCTGTACTTCAGCTCCTTCGTGCCGGTCTTCCTGCCAGGTCCGGGCGCCCGGGGCGCGGCACCTCTCGGTGTGGGGTTTAGGGCTCACCTATGAACCCGTTTTTTTATACGGAGCCCCGCTTTTGAGCCTTTTAGCGCCCTTGGGGGCGTGGGGGCTACTTAATACTGCTTCCATTTCACAGACAAGGGAACTGAGGCCAAGGTGCGGCTGGGTCGGGGCTGAAGATGGCTTCTTAGGTCCCGCGGATCTGGGCTCGAGTTCGGGTGCTTGTTTGCCCCTGGACAGTTCCTTAAATTCTGTGAGCCTGCGTTTGGCTGCCAACCCAAGCCCCCAAGCCAGCAGGTTGAGCCCTGGAGAGAGGCTGGGAGACTGGGAGCGGGCTGCTGCGTTCCTGTCAGAGGCGCCAGGTGCGCTCGGCCCCGCCCGGGACGCAGCAGGCTACCGCGCGCGCCGCGAAGGGGAGAGCGCGAATCCTGGAGGTCCCCAATCCATCTCCTCTCTCTGAGTGCAGAGGTCGGCGCGGGCGAAGGAGGCGCCCCGTCGGGCAAAGGCGCGCGAAGCCGTGCGGAGGGTTAGTGTCGATGTCCCCTGTCCGACTCCAACCACGCTCTGTTTCTCCCGCAGTCAAGCCTACCCCTACGCCCGCGCCGCGACCACCCACGAGGGCGCCCACCAACACGTCGCAGCAGGGGTCTCAGCGCCCCGGCATCTGCCGGCCGGCGGCTGGCAAGCCAGGTGAGACCCGCGCAGGGGTCCCAGAACCGGGACCCGCCAGGGGCGGTGCGGGCAGGGGGCGCGGGGGTGGGGGAGAGCCCCCGCCAGGCTCAGCCCTGATCGTGGAGATAGAGCCAAAACCTGTCCAAGTGGTGGGGAAACCAAGACCGGACCCGAGGGACAGGCCCGACCTGGTGGTGTGGGTTAGAGAATCCCGGCCAGTTCCTAAACGCTGGCGTCTTCGGTGTCTTCAGTGGAAAAAGGTGTGCTTGCCTTTGCCTGTGAAATCTACATCTGGGCACCGCTGGCTGGGACCTGCGCGGTCCTTCTACTGTCACTGGTCATCATCGTCATCTGCAACCATAGTAAGTTCTAGGGCCGCTCGGAGTGGCAGGGGAAGGCGGGGAAGGTTTGCTCTACTTCCCCCTCCTTCGGGGCTTGCTCCAGGCAGCTTGCCTGGAGATAGGATGGAGGTTTCTGGACACTGAGCTGTACTGTAGGGTCAGGCACAGCCCATTTCTCTCCTGGAGACAGAACTCGTGAAACCCCTTCCCACTCCTCTTTCCACTCTCTGGGACGTTCTTAGGGAGACAGAGCCCTTATTCCAGGATGGGCAGGAGCATTGTGTTCCATTGACCATGGAGAAGGCGGTAGAGAGTACAGTTTCTGGCTTATTACAACCCTCCCACCCCCGTACACCCCCCCCCTCCCCCGCAGAGAGTGTGCCCCTGTGGCCATCGGACTAGTGCTCAGGAAGACTGGATCAAAACCATGACTTGTTGAGATTTACCCTCTGCCACCTCCCAGTGAACCCCCTACTACTTAGGGTCCCACTGTAGGTGACCGTACTAACCCATCTTAGCCCACATGTGTATTTGCAATGCTTTTAAAATTGATGAGAAGAGGGATGGAAAAGCAGCTCTTACTTGGTTTTCAAGAGTTATAGTTCTAAAGAAATAGGAAAAGGGAAGGAGGAAATAAATCTATGTGGGTACTATTGGTGGTGGGGAGGCAGTCATTTTACTTCTTCTTTTTCTTATCCAGGGAACAGAACACGGGTTTGCAAATGTCCCAGGTGAGTCTTATAACCCCTAGGGCTGCTAACACTGGCCAGCCCTCTGCACAGGTCCTAGCTTCCCAAGCAGCCTTTGGTGGGAACCTTTCCCAGAGAGAGGCCATGGAGAATTCTGGGGGCAGGGAGTCAGCACAGTTTCTGAGCAAAGAGCAACACAAAGCTGGCAAGGTGAGGAAATGGGAGGCACGGTTTGGGCTCATGGGGAGAGCAGTATGACTTCTGTAAGTCTCCATTTTCTCTGACCTGGCTCCAAAAATCCCAAACAGGATTCCCCCTATTAGTCCTAGTTCTCCACAGCCTTGAGGTCTCTTTACCTGGATGATTCCAATTGAGTTTTATTGTTTTCTTAAGAAAACTTTTTTTTTCTATTGTTTGTTCTAGATTTTTGAGTAATTAGTCTTTCATTGGAGAACCAAATAAGCAATGGCCTAGACTCCTAATTTCCCTGTGTCAGTGTAGTGCCTTGATTTACCACAAAGGACTAGAAGGGAAACAGAGGCAGGAGCAGTTAGCTATCTGGCAGCCCAAGTGACTCCCCGATCCAATTCCAACCCGTGATCATTCTGAGATGATCAGGAAAAAAAACCAAACAAAAACAAAGACCAGTGCGTGGAAGAGAAGTCTCAATCTTTTTTGTCCTTTGAACTTAGGCTGAGGCAGCCTGTGCTAACATCTAATTGACCCCACTCTGGCCCTGCACCATGATGGGGGTTACACGCAGGTTCTCTCTTCTCCAGGAATCCCATGTGATAGATGCCACAGTCCCATCTCACAGCTGAGCAGCTCAGATCAGGAAATCTACCCTAACCTGCAGAGACGTGATGACTCTCAGATTATCAAAATAATACTACATTTAAGAAAAGCCTACAGAGTACCAGTTCCTTGTTTTATATATATTTTTATTATTTATTTAAATATTTTATTTATTCGACAGAGATTGCAAGTAGGCAGAGAGGCAGGCAGAGAGAGAGAGAGGGAGAAGCACGTTCCCTGCTGAGCAGAGAGCCCGATGTGGGGCTTGATCCCAGGACCCTGAGATCATGACCCAAGCCAAAGGCAGAGGCTTTAACCCACCGAGCCACCCAGGCACCCCTATATATTTCTTTTTAAATATCAAGTTTCATAACAATCTTTCAAGTAGTCGCCATGACCACCACTTTTTCAGATGAGGAAAATGGCAGTTAGGACATTTAGTGACTCGTCTAAGGCCACACTGATGCCAAATAGCAGAGCTCAGACTTCTTTATCCAAGTTCAGGCTCCTTCCTGCGTGGGGGATGGGGATGTTTAAGGATAATCAGTTCCTTTCAGTGGATGAAAATACTTCAAATTTTATACCTAGGGTTTGCATTTCCCACTCCTTGGTATCTCTCTGCAGGAAACCAATTCCAATATCTCATACAATGTTATTTTTTAAAATATGTGTCAGTATTTTTAACGGAAATGTAATGAATATATTGTAATGAATTGTAATAATGTATTCTAATGCCTGTATTATGAATGGTATAACAAGGGGGACAAAGACCCTTTAAAAACAGAGAAAGATTTTTAGCATTTGCAAGTACTTGGGGTGCAGTTGGGAGCTTTGGCAGGAGAATCACACACTCAGTGATGACTGAGGGCAGCTCAGCTTCCGGAGAGGTTTGGAGGACAGTGTGTGTAGACCTGACATTCATGATGAATCAGCCCATTCAGGAGGTGTTGGCCCAGTCCTGAATTAACACACATTTTTAGTGGGACATCAAATTTGAGTCGTTTGTGTGCGATAAAGTAGCTCTGCTTGGCTGATGGTGGTCATTTCCTCACATCCTCCCGGGGGATCGAGAATCAGCTCAACTGGTAACTTCGGTCATCAGCCTCCCTCTCTCACCTTCATGGGCACCTGACAAAGGCTCCTGGAAGCCAGACTAACTGGGCTCCGATTCTGGCTCCATCACCTCCTAGTTATGGTAGAACTTGGGCAAGTTCTCTCATCTATTTCCCAGTGGCCTCCCCTCCAGGTTGCTGTGACAACAAGATGACAAACGTGAAGCACTTGACACTTTCTGACGTTATTCACTCAGTCCCACGATGGTATTCCAGGGACAAATTCGCAGACCCTGCAGGGGCTGGGAGGCTGGGGCGGGTGGGACAGATGTGGATGGAGGCAGTTAGCACACTGTGGGGGTTCTTGCTGCAATCACGGTTTACCATCTGCCTCTCTTTCAGGCCAATGCCCAGACCAGGAGGCAAGCCCAGCCCTTCAGAGAAATACGTCTAACATGGAGATGGGCCCTGTGCGACAGCCACTACAAGACCGAACAGAATTCTCTCTATGAGAACAGCAACAGTCCTTCCTTCCTTATATATCCATTCTCATTATTATTTTTGTGGGGGTGGGGTGGGAAGGGTGACTTCTTCTTCATGTGTTTTCCTTAGTTGACACAAAACAAGACTGTACGTCTACAGTACACCACAAGGGCTCTGATACCATTGTGTGCTCGCACTGGGGTGAAGGGTGGGCAGGCCAGAGCTACCACAAGCCGTGTTCTCGGAATCGGGTGGTTTGAGCTGGGGGGGGGGGGGGTTTGCTTAGCATGATGCGGTCCAAACCTCTTTCGTTGACATTCAGCGATGGGGAGCAGCTTGAGCAGAGTCACAGCAAGTCTCAGGGCTCGTTCTCCAGCCATTCAGGTCTTTCTTCTGGAGATTTCTGTATCAGTGTGGGGGTGCTGTGTCTCAAACCCTAGGAGCACAGATGATTTCTTGAGCAGCAGCCCTAGGCCCACGACTGTACCCACAGCCCTAAGGGGGTTCTAGGAGAACTTCTGCCTTTCACAGAGTTCTCTAAGGTGGTTGAATCCTATCAGACTTTTTTTTTTATAACGACATGTGGAACTCCATGGAGTGGGAAATCCTCAACTAAAGTGGAAGGGGTAAGCTGAATCCTGGAAAATGAGAAACTCCACCTCTAAAGACAATCTGTGGGAACTCCCCCAGTGGAGGCCGAATGGCTCTCCCAGCCCCCCGCAGTGCAGAGGGGCCCGTGAAAGAGGAGAGACCACCCTGTGACAAGTATGATCTGAGCATCAGCACAGTGGAACGGCGGTCCTCTTGAGCCTCTGAACTTGAGACACCGTGTCCGCTCGTGCTCCTGGAACATCATGACTGCTGATGGTGCGGAATGGTTACAGAGCTGCCAGCACCGGCCCTGGCCTCCCCTCAACCGGCAGATGAGGGGCTGGGACGGAAGACACTCTGGTGAGGAGGCGGCCAGCCAAACCGGCTGCCCTCCACACGCGTGTTTCCTCTCGTCCGAGTTGAACAAGAATCGAGTCCTCACTGGAAGAAAAAACTCAAATGAGGAAGTAAGAATCACCCATAATTCTTTACCTCAGGTGTAATCCATTGTTAATAGCGTGGTGTACATTCTTCCTGATGATTTTCTGTGCATATATGTGAAGTATATACTTCTGACTTTTAAAAAATGCAATTGCTCTGCTTTTTATAAATGGCTTTAATAAAAAACATTGATGGCATCGGTTTTGTTTTTGTGGTTTTTTTTTTTTAATAAACACATAGTGTATTATTAGCCACAGGGGTACAGGTCTGTGAATCGCCAGGTTTACACACTTCACAGCACACACCCTCCCCAATGTCCATAACCCCACCACCCTCTCCCTACCTCCCTACCCCCGGCAACCCTCAGTTTGTTTTGTGAGATTAAGAGTCTCTTATGGTTTGTCTCCCTCCGGATCCCATCTTGTTTCATTTATTCTTTCCTACTCCCCAAACCATCCACGTTGCATCTCCACTTCCTCATATCAGGGAGATCATATGATAGTTGTCTTTCTCCGATTGACTTATTTCGCTAAGCATGATACCCTCTAGTTCCATACACGTCGTCGTCGCAGATGGCAAGATTTCATTTCTTTTGATGGCTGCATAGTATTTCGTTGTATATATATACCACATCTTCTTTATCCATTCATCTGTTGATGGACATCTAGGTTCTTTCCATAGTTTGGCTATTGTGGACATTGCTACTATAAACATTCGGGTGCACGTGCCCCTTCAGATCACTACATTTGTATCTTTAGGGTAAATACCCAGTAGTGCAATTGCTGGGTCATAGGGTAGCTCTATTTTCAACTTTTTGAGGAACCTCCATGCTGTTTTCCAAAGTGGCTGCACCAGCTTGCATTCCCACCAACAGTGTAGGAGGGTTCCCCTTTCTCCACATCCTCGCCAGCATCTGTCATTTCCTGACTTGTTAATTTTAGGATGGCATCGTTTTTAATGACAAAATAGCACGCCATTTTTTTAGTGTGCCAACTTTTATTTATTACTCAGCATTTAATTTTCCAGTTTCCAGTGTTTCACTACTCTAATACCACTGCCAAACTTTGGCACGGGCATTTGTGTCTTTAGGATAAAACCCTAAATGTAAAATTATTAGGTCAGTCACTACTTTCACTGTGGACTCCCTGTTTTCCCATCAGCTAGAACTGATTAGCCTCTCCTGACATCACCTTGTCTTTTGTTCTTTCGTGGTAACGGATAAGCTGATACTTCTCTCGTAATAAATCACAAAATCTTCACCCTTGTTGAGGTAAAATATACATACTGAAAAGTCCCCAAATCCTAAGTGTACAGCAGCTCCAAGACCTCATCAAGCGAACACACTCACATAGCCAGCACCAGGTCAAGAGAGAACTTTCCCTGCCCTGAAACTGCCTTTTGTAACCTTAACTTTTAAAAACCAAGACACTTTTGGGTCGCCTGGGTGGCTCAGTGGGTTAGGCCGCTGCCTTCGGCTCAGGTCATGATCTCAGGGTCCTGGGATCAAGTCCCGCATCAGGCTCTCTGCTCAGCAGGGAGCCTGCTTCCCTCTCTCTCTCTCTCTCTCTCTGCCTGCCTCTCTACTTGTGATCTCTCTCTGTCAAATAAATAAATAAAATCTTTAAAAAAAATTAAAACCAAGACACTTTTAAAGAACAGAAGTTAAGAGGAAAAAGTGCCTCAAGTGCGAAAAAGCAGAAGTGAAAGCTAAGAAAGTTCCCATGAGACAAAGTCTTGCTCTTGTCCCCTTCCTCCCCAAACCAATCCAGCGACAGAACCAGGAGCCACTGCAGGGACTGGGACCCAGTTTAGAGCAGGCTCCAGGGCTCTGAGGCTGCCTGTCCCTGGGTTCCCTGGGAGGGGGGACAAGGAACATCTTGCTTCCTTATGCGAGACACTTGAGAGGATGGCCGTGGAAGGCCAATCTTAAAGAACCCGGGCTAGCATGAAGAGAGGAAAAAGGCTTTTCCTCTTTAACTTGCAACACAGCTAATGAGTGGCTGGGAAGCCACCCTGGGGAGGCTCGGAAAGGGTTGAATACTTACTGATTTTCTCATACCCCCAAAGAAGTTTCACTTGCCATAACTAAAAAGGTAAACACTATTTTGGAGATTAAAAATATCAAGATGGTGGGGGGCGCCTGGGTGGCTCAGTCGGTTGGGTGTCCAACTCTTGATCTCAGTTCAGGGTCATGAGTTCAAGCCCTGTGCTGGGCTCCACGCTAAGCGTGGAGGCTACTTAAAAAACAAAAAACAACAACAACATAGAGAAAGGAATTCATCAGAGTTGGCCCTCAGATCCAGGGAGAAAACAGAAAAACAAGCTGCAGGCTGAGGCTGAAAACATGAAAGGTGGCTGTGAATTTAGGCTCAGGGCTTGCCTGCGACCACAAACATCCAACTGTTCATTCTGCATACGCGGAAAGGGCACCTGACAGTTCAGAGCTGGCAGACTCAAGTCCAAGTCGTATTTCACTTGCCGGCTTCTAGCCCAAGTACTGACTCTACAAATTTCCCCACGGGCAAGATGCCCATGACACATTTTTTGGACCCTGAGAAACAGGAAGTAGAGAAATGACTTCTCTATCATGCAGTTAGCTTGGTGGTTCAGTGAATAAATATTCATTCATTCAACAAAAAACATATTCCCTTTGTGGAAGAAAGAAACCGGAGAACATTGTCATTTGTTTCTCCGGTTGCGACACTGCCCTTCGGAGAACCCATGCCACACTTGAACATCCCCCATGACTCTTCAACCAGTGGCACGGGGAGAAGTCTCTCTTTTCCACCAGCAAGAAGCCGCCCCTCCGTCCAGCCCAGGGCTGTGTGTAAATATCTCCCACATCCCCCCACCATCGCCACCCTAATATTGTGACCACCAGGGGCAGGCAACACTTACTCTGCTCCTAAAGGCAGGCTTGAGCTATGCTTCTCCACCAAAGGAACTGACGGAGGCCACAAATGCCTACGATTAGGTTGAATGCAGAGTTCTGAAAGCAGCTTCCTGGCCCTGTGTTCTCTAGCAAGTGACTTCAGGTCTCAAAACCTTGGTTTCCCCACTTGTAACATGGGGGTAATGATAATCCCAACCTCAAAGGGTTGTTGGGAAGAATATATGAGTTAATATGTATTTTTAAGTGCCTAGAAGAGCTCCTGGAACACAGTAACCAAACGTACACTGAAAACAACGTACTGCATTTTTCAAAACCAGCATAGAACCCATTACACTCAGAATGCAACCAATTCTGTCTGATTCCCCCAATTTCTGTTCTCAGAAAGGGTAACCATTTCTGACAGAAACACATTATGCATACACCCAGGGATCTCGGCTTCCCAGTGCTAAGAAAGACAACCCTTCACACCCATCTCACCTTGAGAGAGCTCAATCCCAGATACACACAGCCTTGGCTCTGTCACTGAAGCTCCCGTCAGCCTCACATGCTGAGGGCCAGCCCCCCAGGTCCCTCCCTGCCCTCCTGCAAGAGAGCTCTACCATCCTCAGAGCGGCCAGATAAGGCTTGCAGAGTAGAAGCATGAGCTCTACTATCTGTCCTCTCAGCACCTCCTGAGGTTCCCATCCCTTTGGACAACCTCCCTTCTGCACGTCAGTTTCTAACCCCCCTCTTCCGCTCTCCCTTAGATGGTTGTGATCTGTAGGTGTCATTTGTTCTTATGTTTTAGTGACTTAAATAAAATACCAGGTACCAGTTATTTAGCACTCATCATGGGCCCGGCACCTCATGTGGGCTTCAGCAGAACCCTGAAGTAGGAACGATTACCATTCTTCTTTACAGATGAGAAAACTAAGGCATCGGAAGCTCTGAACGTTTGCCCAAGATCACTCTAGAGCCTGGTGATGGGATCAAGATTGGAGCTCAGGTCTAACCCCACAGCCCAAATGCCTAGCCGCTCTGCTCTTTAACTGAAGCACAGCAGACACACAACGGTACAACATAGGGATTTGACAACGGTGTGTGTTACGCTGCGCCACCACAACTGTAAGCACCCAAAACCAGTTTTTACACATATGCAGCCCAAGGTACAAAACAAAAGTCACCATCTGCTGTGAAATCAAACAAATGGGATCCCGTCTGAAGTCAGGGTGAGGGCCCTGCTTCTAACGCGAACACCACGAGGGGCCAAGAAATGCAGCTCAAGGAGGTGGTTCCACGGCTGCTACCTCCTCATTTGCGTCATGTCTCAGGGAGGTGGAAGGCTGCACCAATGGCTGATGCCAGTGGCTTAATTCCTTTACGTGAGTGAAATTTCATCTGTCTCCTGGCTCCAAGGCACTGGCAAGCATGGTAGAGACTGCAGGTTGTTTTTCCAACTGTTCTCCCGTTCTTCCTTACCAGCAGAACCCTCATGGCACTACAGGTGGCACTGTGCCCAGACATTTCCCAGACTTCCCTGCAGCCAAGTGTGGCTAGTAAGTCATTGGATGGAGCTTCCGGGAAAGGCTGTTCAGAAGAGCTAACTCAATGGGAAGCTGCTTCTTTCCCCACTCCCTTCCTCCTCCTCCCCCCTGCCTGGATCATGGTTACAACTAACAAAGAGGTGCAACAGGCCACACGTGAAGGCTGTGCAAACAGACAGGAGCCCGGGCCCCTGACAGCACGAAGCCACCCTACAAACCCTGGATAAATTCACAGGCGGCTGACTGCTATCCGCTAGTAAAGTCAAAGGCCATCCGCCCAGATTTCCTGATCTCCTTCTCAAAGCTTGCAGGATAATTTAATAAATTCCTGTGAAATTCCTCTTTAGGGCTGATTAGGTCACTGATCTAAAACAACTAAAAGCAGCATGGTCTTAAAAATGAACAGAAACCTGAAATGCGTTTCTAACCTGTTCAGAAGGGGAGAAAGCTCCCGAAATGATTAGTCCTGAACACCGACAAATAACAGGCTTCCTTTTGAAGAACACTTTTCTTTTAGAGGGGAAACAACATCAAAGCCCTTTACTTGCACAGCAGCCCTTGCACAGTGGCTGAATGCAGTCCTCAAATGGAGTTAAAAAGACCCCTCCTGACTAGAAATTGGCAGAAAATCACACAACCCACATGGTATAGAAATCAACGGGAGGAGAGTGTGAGGTTAGAAATTCACCCTTCCGGGGGCACCGGGGTGGCTCAGTCGGTTAAGCATCTGCCTCCAGCTCAGGTCATGACCCCAGGGTCCTGGGATAGAGCCCGCATTGGG